ATTCCGTAATCGGTGAGCGAACTGTGAGTTCCGTAATTTTTACTGGACATTTCTCTCCGTGCTCTAAAAAAGTCCTCCACAATTGACGTGATAGTAACGAGTTTCGCATTACGTTCATAATGAAGAGAACGAATTCAGCGCGAGTGACTCCATCCACACAAACATCTCCCAGCCCTAGTTGCCACAGCCCCCCCCCCCCCCCCCCCCCCCCCCCCCCCCCCCCCCCCCCCCCCCCCCCCCCCCCCCCCCCCCCCCCCCCCCCCCCCCCCCCCCCCCCCCCNAAGACAGGCCATAGCACAACCCAAAAAGGTGAAGGCTCCGTAAAAAGCAAAAAGAAAGAAAAACTGGAAGAGAAAAGAAAGAAAATCTGAAAAAAAATCCGTGTCAAAACACAAGCGTTCATACACCCACGTTGACATTTAAAAGCTCAACATAGGGTTATACAGCCGCTATATACAAAGCAATAGAGGCGAAATGGGGGTGTAGGCAACGTAAAGGATACGGGATCAAACGCGAGGGCAAACAATGGCTCTCGTCGAAATTGCGGGAGTCTGCGTTCGTCGGTTTTAAAGAACGAACCCTAAAAAAAAAGAGAGAGGGCGTGCGGCGGACGACGGGGGTTGGGGAGGCTGGGGGGAGGTGAAATAAAACAGAAAAGAGGAAAAATAGAGAGGAGAAATGAATAAGAAGAGGGAAAAAAATGAAAATGAGGGGAAAAAGAATGCAAAGCAACGGATAAAAGGTGCATCGAAACGATTCTTTCACTCTTTTCGTTTTTTCGTATGGGAATAAAAAAGGAGGAGATAGTGGCACGGGTTTCTTTGCACGCGAGTCTCGACGTGGGCGTGTTATATGTTTCTTATGAGGCTCGGAGGAACTCTGCACGATGCGCCTTCATTCGTACTCGAAAAAATGTGCTCTTTTCTACGGTTTTAATGCACTCCAGGGGAATTTTTGGGGAATTATTCTGTCAGGGGACGACAATGTCGTTTCCCTTCTGTTTTTTTGCCGATTTTTTGTTGTATTGAGGGGGTTATTGTTGTTATTATTGCATTGTCACGGTTGCGTTGCATTTTTTATTGAGTCTACTGTTGGATTTGTCTCTTAAATTAATTTTTTGAAGACATTTTGGTCGGAAAATTTGAAGAAAAACTATCTCTGCAAGTTAGGAAAAAAGGAATATCCCTCATCCCACAGAAGTGAAAACTTCAAAACCCAAGAATTCCATTATTAATGTCGGGATATCATTCTTCTCTTAAATCAAAAAAACATTATTCCATACATAAAGAATGTAATTTCCCCCTTTGTCTTCACTTCCATCACCACTCAATGCAAATTTATTCATTTTTCCCCTTTACACCTGAATACCCCATACATTTTAAATGCCGTGTAAAGATCAAAGCAAACTGGCTAAAATTTTCCCATTTGGATTTCTTCATCCAATTTTCTCCAAGTCTTCTCGCAAAAAATGTCCAGCCCCCCCCCC